ACCTTTTTACCATACTAAATTTCTAGAGCGTTATGCAATAATACTTAACTATATATTACATATCCAGCTATTGGTATATGATTGACATGACATTACATACCGTTAGCAAAAATAATACCAGTAGTATTTTAGAAAACGTTAGTTGTTTATGAATTCGAATTTCATTTACGCATCAGCATAACAGATATTGCGTTTATTTTCCGAGAAAAAACGGGAAACTTTCCGAAAGAACATAAATGTATCTAAAATGATATAAAAAAGTTTATCTCAATTCCCGGGTATTTTTCGTGAAAAAACTTTTTTTTCATTGTGGTCCTTATCGTTCATCCTTTGTAAAGTTTCTAGCCCGTCAACTTTGTTTCACTACCAGTAGCAATTTAACTGACTTAAAATCGTTTTCAAAACCTTAGCCATATACATTATTTTCTTATCCTTCTGCGAGAATATAAATGTTTATGAAACCCTGGAAAGCAAATTACGTCCTTATTTACCCAATCATCCTTTAAAAAGAAACAGCTTAACCCCCCTATCAATTTTCTGTCTATCTATCTATCTCAATAGCATATAAATCATCTGTAAAATTACAAGACAAGCGCACGCAAGTAAGAGAAAACTGCAGGAGACAGAGAGAAAGGAGGAAATGTGATTGATCTGGGAGCTTGGCTCAGCCGATCGAATTCAATTACGCGGCAAGCTAGCTCTACCGCGCTAGCTAGCAGCACTGCTACTATACATTTCAAAGATGAGAGATGAGAGAGACAGACATTGAGCCAATGCGGCACAGCCAACGACGACGAAGGCTAGGCAAATTTTTCATTGGCGACCCCGTCATCTTACGGCAGAAGGGACTTAGCGTTGAGCTTGGTGTCTCTACGCTGCTTCCGGGAGACTTGCAAGCTCGGATATTTCTCTCTGCCCGGTTAGCCGCTTTTCTCGCCAGCATACAGTCGAAGTTGCTTCATCGCATCGCGTCTTCGCGACGTTAGGCTCGCATTTTTTCTTGCGCGCCTTCGCTCTAGGGCGAAAGCTTTTCCCAAGGTCGGAAAGCTTTTTCAAAAAAGATTTATTAGTGAAATGCAGAGCTATCTTCTAAAAAGCTTTACTCTCGTCAGTAACACTAAATTTTATTTTTAGAATATTTACAATTGTGCTAAACACTCGTTATTGCATCACCTGTTTTAGAAAACTAATTTAGAATTGATTAATAAGTTACGTAATGCATAACTTGATAAATCTATCAATATTTGCAATTATCAAAATATATTGACTTGACGTAGAAATTGAATAAATGATTAAGACTTAAAATTTATGTCTTGTGAAAGTCACATCAAATAATCAATAATCTAAGGCATTATTTTGCAAAAACAAACTGAAATTGTCACGTTTTGAGCCTTTGTGCAAGCTTGTTTGCCGCACAGCTTCGTCAACAAATCGCCGTTTACACAAGACAGCAGTGATGAACGCTGTCGGTTCTATTATTAAATTTATGAGATGCAAAGACCTCAGCTTTTTACTATCGCACGAACACTGCTGCCTTGTCTGAGTTAAAAAAATAGAAAAATTTTATCTTTACTATTATATATAGGTAGTTCAGCTGTTTATTACTTTTGTCTAAAAGACAATTTATCATTATTGTACAAAGAGAGGGTGTTTTATAATTGATTCTTGTTTCATTCATTTATTAAGTTTTCCTGGATCAATCAAACTATATTATACGGTACTATCAATATTAGAAGAATTTTCTAATTTGGTATTGTTATTTGTGAAGCAAACAGCTTAGAATCTAACTGATAAGGGGACACCACACTGAAAACGTATATTGGTTGATTCAACAGACATCAGTCCGTTGAAATACGGTAACAAAGGAATCGTTGGTTCTTTCAAGAGCACCCGGTATATTGATTTGACAGACTGTGCGCTGTTAAGTTGTCCCATGAACCCAATCAAAATAACTCTTAGTTCGGGGTAAAAACAATCGATAGATCTGGTCAAAGAAAAATTCCTAGTACTTATTTTAATACGAAGTCAGATGCTGAATCATTGTACTAATGTTAATTAAACGAACATAATAAACGAAATTGCCATTAAAAATTTGTTTTTTCAAGTTTTTTTATACTCTTTATGAATGATATGAACGAATGTGTATTTGAAATGTTTATTTTTAGAATCTTAGAATTTTTTATTCGCTAATTTTTTTTTTTGAGTGATGAGTTTTTTGTGGCGGAATCGGAGATGCTTACTTTAACCTAATCTACAACTTATATTAACGCATTTCATAACATATCACATCGCTCGCAACAATCATAACGCCAAGACGCCATTTTCGCTTGCCTGTAGGGTCCCAAAACTTTCTTATATAATAATCGAAACATAACCTGTGTACTTGCGAGTATTTCATTAGCCACCTATCTGAGTAGTAGGAAGCTTGCTTTTCAAACAGTTGGCGGGAAATATTTATAGACACAGATATGAAAAATTTCCACTAAGAGATATGGACAAATATGATTTTGTTTTAGACTCGAATGAATAATAGCTGCCATCAGTTTGAATAAAACAGTAAATTAAATACCAAAAACGATTGTAGTATTATTATTAGCCAAATTTTACTGGAACAAATAGATTTTAATAATTAAAATGCATGGCGAAATAATTGGGGAGATTGTCTATAATAATTTAATTTTTTTAATAAAAGACTAATATAAAATATGATTTTTATTGAACTCAAACAAAAATTACATGTCATAGCATACATAAAATTTTCCATCGCTCATTTTCTGCAAGTTATAAATTGCGTTTGAAAACAAATTATTTTCGCAAACGCAAATGAAACCATTTGTTTCTTGAACTTCGTAAGCACATAAATGAGACGAATAGTTAACAATTTTTAGATTTTGACCTACAAACATAATATCTTTAGACTCTTGTTTAATCAAAGTATAAACAATTTTACTTATTTGTACTAAATTTTCATGAATTCCCGTCACTAACACAGAATTTTCGTTATACGTTATTCCATTTACTTTAATCCAGGCAACTGGAGTGTAAGTAAGTTTTACGTCTTCAGACACTTTATCTTTGAATAAATTAAATTTACTTAAAAATTCTATGCTTACGAACAACTGCTTGCCACAATAAATTGCTTTTTGGAATCCCTGGCCAACTAAAAATTCATAATTCAATTGCAACTGATTTCTTATAGCTAAGGTTTTCGGAGAATTAGTTCTCGAAGTGGTTGCTCTAGCAATATTTTTTAATGGCCTATGTCTACCCTCAAAACGCATACACGACAATTGTCGTGGTAATCCTAACAATATAATGTATCTGATGTAGTGCAGCAAATGATGGTGTTTTGGCTTTAATAGTTTTTTTAAAGTCTTGCGATATAAGATATGATGATTTGTTATCTCTTGCTGCAATATCGAAATACTTTTTTCTGTTAGCACTGGAGCAAAGACTAAAAATACTATCTTACGTAATGACAAGTACAACTTCCAAGACTTATTTATGCTGGGGACCAAATCACCAATTAAGAATGTGAGATTAAATAATAAAAACTTCATCTCAGAAGCGCTCATTATTAAACATTTTTTTTTTGTAATGTGATCAATATTTAACGAAGGTGTTTCATTTGTTGCGTTAGGATTAGAATAGCTTTCCAACCTTGTCTGTAGTAAGCGAAAAGTAAATAACTTATCAACAAATATAAGGCGATACAATATCTCTGCTAACTCATATCTGCATAGTCCCTCAAGTAGATCGTGCATTGGGTCAAATGATACGCATTTGAATAGATCAAATCCAGGAATACTAGAAAATATATTTTCGCTTCTGACGCCATGTGATTTTTGTTGAACATCTAATAAATGTGTTTGAGTACAACGTAATATTTTTTCATTTTCTTTGACGCAAGTTTTACACTGTTCCTTACTCATATAACAAATTCGGCATGGAAATTTTGAATTAAAACTTTCATTAAATCCTAACAGTGTGTGCAGTTCTAAATTGTCCCCACTTATATTGAAAATATCGAAATAGACTTTTATATTTCTACCACTTACATTTATCGTAATGCCATTTTTTTGTAAATCTAAGATTTGTCGCACAGCAGGATGAAAAAGCTTAGAATGCTTTACTATTTTCTTAAATTCGGATTTACATATTTGTAGTAGAAATATATTTTGCAAATGACTAGCAAATTCCGGTGGTATTCCTAATATAGTAAAATAAAGGCTATGTAATTTGTTGCGTCCCTTATGGGAACCTATAGGATTATTTATCTCGAAATCATCGCCAAACACAGTAAACGGTAGTACAATTTTTCCTGGAAATTTATTTTTAATGTATTTCCATCTTTCACTGTGAAAAATAGAGCATATACACTTACATTTTTCTTTTTCATTAATATAATTTACTATTGATGAGTAAACGTTTGGAAGTTCGAGAAAATGTTTCAAAACTTTTTTTATAGGTACACTAGCGACCGATACTTTGACTGAAACATATTTTTTTCTTCTGTGAATTCGTTTTGTTTTTAATATATTTGCCACGGGAACAACTTCTGATTCTACATAAAAAAGATATTTGAAAGATTTTATTGCTTTATGATAAGTTGAATAATTAAAAAATATATTTTTCATTAAGTTAAGAATGTTATTGAGGCTATCACAACGTAAAATTTTATTATTAAACGAAAGCATTTTTTCAACAAAATTAGTGTTATAGAAGTTTTGAAACATTGTCATGAGAAATATAATCATGTTTATGGGCAAAGAAATTTTGGCATACAAACTTGACATTAACATATCAACTGCGCCAGCTACTTTTATTTCATAGTCTTGTTTAGTTTCTTCACGAAAATTCGTTTCTTTGCATTCACTTACTTTCTCTACAGGCTTATTATTAGATTCTAACGTCATTTCTATATCTTTGGGTTCACTTACTTTCTCAACAGGTTTATTATTAGATTCTAACACTATTTCTATATCAAGTTTTTCGTTATTTTCAAAGAATTTCGGCTCTTCAAAATTTAAGTTTACAGTCTCATCATTTTCAATCTCTTTTGTAATATTTTCTAAATCAGATGTCGTTTTAGAAAAATGTGACCCCATGTGACTTATAAAAACAGATCTATTACTGAAAGTTCTCATACAGTCTCGTTTATTACATATAAATTTTAAAGCACCTTTATGAAAAACTTTTAAATGTTGCGCAAACAACTTAATCGTACTAAAACTAGATCTACATAAAGAACAATCAAGTACCTCCATGTTCAAAAAGTATTTTTTTTTCTAATATACGACTACAGAACACAATTTTCTCTACTAACTATGAACAAAATGTTGAAGCAATATGAAGTCTTGATAAAACTTTAAATCAACATAATCTTCGACTCGTTGAGTCTTACAAAAATGATGAATTATTCAAAGAAAATAAGATAATAAAACTAGCTATATTTTAGCTATCAGTGAAAGCGTTTAAGCTTGATCTGAATCTTTGTTTAAGTTGAATGGTGGTAAAGAAAATTGTATATCGTTAAGCATCTCTTCTACGCTTAATATTAAGGGATCCCAGCGTGTACGGAATTTGTAAACGCCGTTCTGCAGCAACAACCAAAGATGTTCACTCTGCGGTGGATACTTAGCACTGAACACGTGGAATGATTTGAAACAGTAATCAATAGCTGCTTGTAACGATGGCATCTCATACTCGTTATCATCAATTACTAGATATGATGACTCAACTCTACAATCTTCTTCTCCAACAACTATTATATACGGCTGTAGTGTAATTCGTTTGCTTTTTGCAAACAATTTCTTCTCTTCTTGCCTCTTTTCGATATCTCCATAAATCTGCAACAGGTTTTAAAAATACAGTAAACTGAATTCCGTATAAAGTCATTTTTTTAAATTATAGTTGTAGATAATGCTGGTCAAAAACCTTAACATGAGTAATAATTCCCTCAAAACTTTCGAGACATGATGGTTTCCATTGTTTTCTTCGACCTTGTGAGATTCTTGCAGTTGACGGAAGCATGAAAGATAGTAACAGCATCTGTACATAAACTTTGGAATCTATAAAAAAATTATATCTGTTAATACAAAAAATTATTTAAATAAAAAACGTAAGAGTTGAACGAACCTGCGTTAATGTTTTGTGCTTCTAATAATTCCTTAAGAACAATGCATAATGGATCATTAGGTGTAGATCTTACAGCATAAATTTTTGAAAAAAAATCACTTAAGTTGTCTATCGCTTTTTCAATTGTACACATTAAGCTTAAATCAAAATCCATGTCTATAAGCTCATAGCCTTTAGAACATTTCAAAATGGGCCAAGCCTCAAATATGTTATGAACGAGCTTATTATTTTCACTGTTGTCACCGTTTGGATGTCTGCACTTGTAAGTTGTTTTCCAATGTTTTTTCGCAGTTTCCCAAGGTTCTTCTAGTGTACGAAGCCATTCTAGACTCGCTTGTTCTTCCTCAGTTGGTGTATGTTCATCACTATCATCATGAAATGGATTGTTCTCATTATCTTCTGGCCTATAGATATCAATAGGCAAACGTTTCAAATTCTGATATTTATTCAATAATTTGCCACAAGCTTTTTGGCTTTTTTTATTGAGTGTTTTTTTTTTATCCACTGATGGTGAATAATAAATACAAGCCGTTTCACTGGGAAACACTTCCACAACTTTTCTTCTTAAAATCAAAAAATCTTGTTCCTCTAAATCTCTATATGTGAAGTAAAACGTAAAGCACTTGATCGTTTAAAGTTTACAATATATATTAGAAATCCTTCAATAGATTTTCATATTACCTGTCGCATTCTCGAAGTACAGCACACATCACCAAGTGCACAACTTTTTTCCTTTTATTGAGAGTCAACTTGCGTTTATTATCATAACAATTTAGAATATGCCTTCCTTCAAATGTATCATTCAATGCTTTTTGAACGTTAAAATTCTCTGCCACGAAAATTCTATTCACTATTGGTTGTGCATTATTTATTTGATGCAAAGGAACTCGTTCATGATTTTGTCGCTGCTCATCTTCCAATAATGATGTACCAGTTTTTTGGCTTGTTTGTTTTGATGTTAAAACTGCAGTCTGTAAAGTAATTTCATACTAGTAAGATTATGTGAATTTACACTCAACAATCAAATTATAAATAAAAAACCCTTTATATGCAGCTTTCTTGTTATTTGTAATGATTCGTTTTTTTAATGTATATTGCTTTGATTTTTTCTACAGTATTAAAATTCAATAATATAAATACATACTTACATCTTTAACAAAATACTGTTGGTGTTTTATCCAAAATTCATCCACTCGATGAGAAGGGAGAATTCTCTCCACGTCAGAGAAAGACCATTTGCTTAACGTATCACTTGATACTTTTTTTTCTACAAGCACTCACGGAAAATGAACATTCCGTCAATCATGAATTATTTAACATTCACTCATACCTTTCAGTAAGTCAAACAAATCCTCGCTACTCAATTCGACTAATAAGTTTGCAAGATCCATAATAAACAGCTTCTTGACACAATCGCTCTTTTCAAACAAATAATAAAGTAATAACGTTACTCAATAAATCGCGATACACTGAAAATCTGGTCTAGGTTAAGTTGGACTTTCGAGGTTTAAGCTAGTACGTACGAGCAGTGCCACGTGTCGCTATAATAGAAGCCGGCCGGCGGCCGGTCGCGCGTTATCTGACAAAAGATAGTGACGGGGGGGGGGGGGGGGGGGGAGAGAAAGGGGAATAATGCAAACTCAAAGAAAAAATGCAGTAGGTATTTACACTCTTACCCCATGTTATGCAAACTATAGATCAAGAATATAATATAATAACAAGCTACATTTTATTTTATTATTGAAACTAAAGTCATTTTGATTGGTTTGTTAATGTAATGGGCATACTATCAATTGAAAAGTTAACTCAGTCCCTTGAACGTAGCCATTGTTATTCTGACGTATGAGACGTCAAGTCAACAGCATAGACATTCAAGCAATAGATCGGCCTGTTGAGTCATTTTAACAGACGGCGTTTTATCGAATCAACAGCCGAGTCTGTCAAACCAACAACGAGTCTGTCGAATCAACAGCTTACGAGTTGAGTGAAGCATATAGTAGTTGATGTAAAGACGGTGCTATTGAATGAACAGATGATTGGGTTGATTCGACCATATATTTTTCTCAGTGCACACACCCTGGGTTATTAATGTGGCTTAACTTGGTCAGTGACCTTCTTATTTATATAAATGAAATTCCCTTGAAGGATTTTGTCTCATGACCTTCGTTCGAGAGTGATTGAGCTTAATATTTGACAGTTGAAAAATAATCTATCTTCAAATCAAAATAAGCCTTTAACAAATTTTGTCACAATAAAGATTTTAGTAATAATATAGCACTTTTGGAGTATTGTAAAATTTATTATCTTTAATGAAAAAAAATTAAATCGAGACAATTTATGAATGGATTAGAATTTTCGGACAAATTTGTTTAAACACAAGGATACGATTTTATTTTTCTATTGGGAATTTTCACTTAGAAAATTATGATAAACTTAAAATTTCACAAATTATTTTGATTTAAAGAGGGACTCTATTTATCAATAAATTTGAGAATGAAAGGATAATCAAGTTTGAGTAACTCCTATGGTTCGGATAATGGAATCTGCTCTTGTGAATTAAATCATATTACTTTGAAAGGTATATTTGATCAGTTTGTGAGACTGCTAGTTAGGAAACTTTGTATTCAATAGCCGATGTTTGGTAAGTGATTTTTATTAGTATTAGAAGTTGATAATTTATTGATTCTTTGAACTCTCAATAAAGTTACAGTTGAAATTATAATTTATAAGAAAAAGTGAGAAGTTTTTAATCGTATAATTATTATTCTTTAAATTAAAAAATTGTTATAACTACCCTGACGAAGATCCTTGAAAGTAGAATTCACTTCTATGTATTCGAAATTTGTATCCCTAATTATTTATTTGCATAACACTGTAAAAATTTGTTAAAAAGTTGTGTAGTATTAGACAATTATTTATTGTTGAATTTTTTCAATCGAAACAAGATTTGCAATCAAATAAATATATCGCAACTACGATATTGGGATATCGATGAGAATCACGTATCTCGTTGTTTATCATCAACTCGATTAAACTCTCAAACAATAGCCTTTCTAGTTACAGCTCGCCTCATTATAAAACAACCTTTTTAATCTCAAACAACAGCGCAGTGCACAACTTGTACGACCAACCATCCCAACTCGAGCAAGACAATGAGCATGAGAATGACGTGACACGAGTAACTCGAGCGTGCATAACTTAGAGCACAAGGCCAGCGCAAGTACATTGTCACATTATATGTACTAGTATTGTTTGGCATGCTAATCTCTTTCACTTCTTTTAATAATGTACAGGTAGATCAAAAAATTAATTATGTTATTGTTATATTATTCATTAATAAACAAATATGCAGTTGCATTGATACTTAAAACTCATGATTTAAAGAAAATTATAATCAATCAAGTTTCAATCATTTGATCATTGAAATTTTCAAAACATTTCCAACGCGTAACTCAAAGCTTTGATTTTTCTCTGACGGTCCATTCAATTACAAATATTGAACGATAGCATGCGATCAGCCTTATCAATTTTGCGTTTTGCTAAAGCCGGAAGAGAAATTTAATTCACTTGAAGTGGACAAAGAAATGCGAGCACTAATGAAATGGTTTTTTATTAATTCTAACATCGCCGGTAGAATATGAACGTCTGTGCATGAAAAACGTGATATTCAAAATAAGAGATGAAAGCTTTCGCTTCCGCTTTTATATAGGCGCTTGCATGCTCATAATTTCTTTGTTGATGAAACATATGAATCCTTTTTTTCTTCACAAATTTTTTATAATTAACTATACGCAACGCACTACTGAATCGATCATCTCTTTCCTAGCTACCTAAATGACTTATAATATTTACTTCTTTTTTGAAAGGGCACTCCGATGAAAATTTATCGTTACATCATCTTGAGAGTTTGAAAACATCAACTCGCGTATATAACTTCACAACAGAAAAAGCAGCTATTAATAAATCAGATTATTGGTATAACGTACGGCTGCTTGCACAAAAGAAGAAAAGCTGTACAAAGTATAAAAGCCAACTGCGGTAAATCAGAAAGTCAGTGGATCACGTCAATCCCAAAAGCCCCGGAGAATCGTTAAGCGTTGAATGGCTGATCTGTTTGACGTTGTTTTCAAAACTCGCGTTCACGGGCTTTCCGCTTTCGCCATTGGTTGGAACCGGATGGTATAATTGGTGAGCATAAATTTGTAATTAAATTTCTGCGTATCTGTCTGGATACACTTCGAATAGCGATAAAATCTCTCGGCAACGAATTTTGCGCGAGCGTATAATAGTAGACGACGAGGAAGGGATAGTAGCGCGACGGCGATATCTAGCAAAGCCAACCTCATCCTACATATATGTATACATATACATATATATAGGATTATATGTATATACCCTTAAATGCATTTTCGCGCAAACGCAAACAGTGCTGCGAGCTCATCCAACTCTCTTATGTGTATCTATACGTGTGTACACGCAGGCACACATAGATACATTGCACCGCGCTGCGCTGTTAAAAAAATAAACAAAACTATGTCTAACGATAAATAATGTGTATAGCTATTTGAGCTTCCGATTGAAAAAGTGTGCATGAAAAAGATGGACAGAGAGAGAGAATGATCATTTATGTGAACCGAACGAATAGGGAAAATCGTTAGAAGCAATTCGATTGGTGCTTTGTTGGCCGCTCATAAAATTCTACTAACTGCACTCGCAAGCGTTAATTCAATTATACTGGCTATATTTTTGTTGTATGCTTTTTATACCATGCAGCTCTTGCACGTTTGAGCGTAACAGAATTCGCTCGTTCTAAATTTTAATCACAGAGTCACAAGTTTCATATAACGCGAAATTGCTTTTCCAATATGGAGAGGAAGGAGAGAAAGGTTAAAAAAGAGAGGTAGAGATCAATGCGTCGGTATAGCTACGCTTGGGCAAACGAAAATCTGTTAAATATTCGATCTATTCGGGACCCCGATTTTCAACGGCCAAAGCTACTTTTCGTAGATATGCTACGATGATTTTTTTCTCACATGCAAACTGTTTTCATTTTGATATTTTTGTCATGATTTATCACACATTTACCGAAATAAATATTTCACCTGTAATCACGAATGCGGCATAAATGAATGTTTTTTGTGCGTAAAAATATCTACGGGTTGGTACGCGGAAATAAATTGGATTGCGCGCACATGCACATATATAGGAGGGCATACGCGACACAGTCAATAATTAACAAAAGTCGGCTTGTCGCGTAGCGTGAAATTTGGATGTTAATACCATTCCAAAAAAAGAACGGAGCAAGAATGAAAACAACATGAGCGTATTACACAAAACGTTACAAGTTGATAGAGCACGTATATCGTGCTTCTGTCTTCGAAATCAGCCGCAGCAGCATCACTGGCTGCACACGAGTTGTGTGAATAAAGCGACGTTGCGAAATTTGATAGCCTCTTTGCCAGACGCGTGTTCGTCACTGTTATCCGATAATTGGATTCCGTTCTACTCGCCTTTGTTTATCGCGGCAGCGAGCACGCCGTGCGCCGAATTCGAATTAATGTACTCAGTTTCGCAAGCTCAAGAACAAAGCCCAACTGATCCGATCTTTTGAATGAATATTTGTCTCCTCTCTCTCGCCTCTCTTGCTCGCTTATATTCTAGTTGACAATTTTAAACTCTTGAAAGTTAATTACCATTCTTATTTCCGCACAGATTAAGTGAAATTTGACTTTACTTGCTAACTTTAGTTATTGGTTTGTTTTTTAAACATTTTCCTCTTTATTCTTACTGAATGCAACTTGAATTCGTCTCAAAAACAACAGAAAAAAATACTTGATTATCCATTTATCGATTTCAATGTAACCAAAATAAACTCTCAGTTGAGTGCTACTCCGATGTGAATTATTTCATTCAATAATAATTTTCAATTATTCAATAATTGATTGATTACTTATCAATTTCGAATACTGCTCAATTTGTCATTAATCTAATGACTCAACTTATTCTAATCATCGTTCACACGATATGTATAACAGTCTGTCATGTCTCCTTCAATTACTTATTACGTGTTATTAATCCCCTCGTCCGTCGTGCTTTTGACGTTTATTGTTCGCTCTCAATACTGACCAACGTAACTAAATCGATCAGGAAGCATATTGAAGGTATTCTAGTAATATTATATAACGAATGAATAATTCACTTGTGTAGAAGTGAGTCAAAATTGATGATCTATTAATGTTAATTTTTTAGACGCAAATTAATCAACGCAAAGTCGATCATTATTCGATTAGACTTCCATTAGTTAGATTTTTTCTCGTAAGGGAGAGGTTGCTAAACCGTACGCACGCCTATATAGCAAACCATATACTACTACGAGTGTGTTATTCTCCAGGGAGCGCTCAGTTGTCATCAGTGGCTAGTTGCCTCCTATCTAGTCGTTATTATCAATTTATACATTCTCAGATCCTATCTTAATGCAATTACCATGCGCATTGGCCACACTAGTTAATTCAACACTTGACAATCGCTATTTGATAACGAGTACCGGCTGAAATTGCACGAAGCTTATTAGCATACAATGTTCAAGATATTTTGATAAGTTTTGTTCTCGATATGAAAACCAAAAGCGGTACCTAAAAAGAAGAAATTAGAATTTAAAATTATAACAGATGAAAGGAAGGCTAAACTAACAATAGGTGATAAAAATAACTAAAAATAATAGAAATGAAAAGCTTACCATCAGAGGCTTGCTAATTCATAAATTAATTTTAAGCTCAAAGCTTTTGGCTGAGTTACTAATATTGCTGTACTTGGCATAATGCACCCAGCCCAATACTACTACGATTATTATACAAATTATATAAACTCCATGTATTTGATCATTCATATTGAAAATTTGTGTTCCGACCACGTGAGCTTCAATTTCGACCTTGTACATATTTAATGCAAATCAAGGTTATACTTACGATTTGCTCTTCATCACTATACTGATAATACAATATCTTTCACATATAATAAAATTCATTTTAAAGTCCCTATATGATCGTTAAATTTTGTATTTACAAAAAAAGTTAAATGTAAATAAATTACCAATAAATATCAAATTCAAAAAATTAAACTAACCAAATTCAAGATCATAACTGTAAAACGTGTTTATGAATAAAAGGAATCGTCAGTTTCTAAAATATCTTTAGATGATACATAATATCGATTATTCGAGATTCTCCTAGGTGATCTCTATTTCTGCAATCATGTGACCAGGTATAATCTTCATTATAAAATAACACTTGTTTTTAGAGTAGTGACAAAGTTAGATGTAATAGATTACGTATTTTTTTAAATGAATACCAAACTTGTTGATTACTAATTAATAATTTCTCATATAAACACTATTCAAGAAAAGTTAACATACGTAGGTAGACTGAAGGTGTTTAGAGACTGTTTTCGAATTATTGTCAGAAATTATAGTTTTAGGTATATTTTTGCAGATAAAATAATGTTTTTAAAACAGTCTTTATGCACCTGCAACATATTTGCATATAAATTTTATTTTTCTTTAAAAATATGTGTAGGAAGGAAAAGATTATACTTACTGTACACGGATGGTAAACGTTGATAAACACAAATATTTATAATTTATCATACTGACGTATTTCCTTAACTTGCCATTAATAGCTTCATACGTATGGAAAGCTTCGGATCTGTCAACGTATCTGACGCGTATTTACAGGTTTTGGGCTACACATTACTAATCCCCGTGGCCCAATAGTAGAAAACGATCCATACCATTTCGGTTTTCAACACACCACTACTCTAGTATTAACCTATATATATATATATAGCGTAAAAAACGTAAATATATCTACATTACCGACGCTTCATGGTTGAATCTCAAGCATATGATTCATAACATTGACTAACGTAATGTTTATAGAAAATGCATGATAATCGACGTATAATACAAGCGTGCTAGCATGATGATTTAAAAAAAACTAAATCAATAGATTTAAAATTTTTGTATCAAGAATAACTTTTTCAAAATTATATTGATTAAACTGAAATTCTTTTTATATGATGAGTGAGAATCAAAACATTCAACTAAGTCAATAGAAACACCAATATCAACTGCGTGAAAGTTAGGAAAAAATAAAATGACTTCTGCAGATGGTTGGAATCGTCATGTTCCTGTATTAGTATCGTGCGGTGCCGTAGCTCCGTAATTATTTATGTCTATTCGTATTCAAGCCGCTATCGCGATTTTTGATAGAAAAATAAAATACAATCACGTCGGTAATAATCACATTATGGCTATCACTATTATTCTGACGTTAGCGTGAAACTATATAAATTATATTTGTTCCAAATACAAATTTTTAGATAGATTTTTAGATATTTTATGAAAAATATATCAACAATCTCTCAACGTCTCTTTTACACTACATATCGACAAACTTCATTTTCTGTTTCTGTTCGGATACTAGTTATCTATTTAATTTGATTTTGAGATCACCTATAGATCATAAAAAATTTCTATTTAGGAAATTTCAATCATACGTTAAAGATGTAATGTAGATTGTTCTGAACAAAATGAATACTTTTTGAAATTAAAATATACTAATAATTATAATCAAAAAATCTAACGTTAAAAAATTTAATTTTATAATTAAAATTTTACAAAATCACTGTAACTTTTGAAATTATACTTTTGAGTTTATATTCAAATCTAAGTAGCACTTTTCCTTTCTGCGAATTTATTCAACTCCATTTAGATCCTTTTACTTTCTTTTTCTCTATACCTTTAAACTTCTAAGCCTGTATTGTCTCGGTTTTACTCCATCTCATGAAATTCAGAACAGTTGTTATACTCTTATTCGATGTTTTACCAACTACATTAAGCACTTCTATGTCCAATGTTTCATCCACATTTTATTTATTAAATCACGTCTAAAAGGCTCCGATTTGCGACTACAGTATAAGAGTGTGATAAAAAGTTATGAATGCGTATAATTCTAACTTTATAAGTATCTTATAAAAATGAGAAATTTTCTTCCTAATACGTGAACAATCATGTTACTCGCCGTTAGTGTGATCTTCTTTGATAAAATCAGCTGCTCGTTCTGCCAACATAGTTATAGCACCTACTGGATTTCCTGATATCATCTAGGAAAATCAATAAGTTCTCCCATTAGAAAGTTGCTTATAATTTTAAAACATATTTATGATTGTGTAGATTTACCAAAGGCATTGATGAACTATCTACAACTCTCACTCCTTTAACACCATAGACACTAAAGCGTGTATCAACCACAGCCATTGGGTCGTGTATTGGACCCATCTTGCAAGTGCCTGCTTGGTGGTTTTCCGTTCGAGTTTCTTGATGAATAGCACAAACCCAATATTCATCGCTCTTAAACTCGAAATTAGAACACTCGGGAATTGGCATACTAGTTAAAGTCAAGTTAAGTTTTCGCATGGTAGGGGAGTCGGCTAAAGAGAGAGCCACATGTATTCCCCAAATTAAAACTTCTACATCACGATGATCCCCGAGATCATTACTCCATATGATTGGATGATCCAAGGGATTATTGCTTGCTAGAGTTAATCTACCTGAAATTTGAGTGCGTTGAGAAATAATTACTAATTATTTCTACTATCACTATAAAAAATATATAAAAAAATAATTTTTAGTAATACATTCACCTCGCAAAACAAATAAATTTTCTTGTTTTACTAACAAACTTCAAAATTAAATAATCATAAACGTATAAATATTACTAATCCTTAAATAATTTACATTCTCAGCAAACTTACCTCTACTCTTTGCATGTAAATTTACGGGTATCATTTGTACATTTCTGACTGATGAATTATCAGTAGTCCAGCAATTTGCGTCATAACCAGCAAAAAACATTTGCAGATCAGGATCATCCGGTGTTGTATAATTAGATGCTAAGATCGCCGTCACTTGAGCTAATCCACTAGACGCCAATGGGCCCGTTTGATTATTCAGATACGCCGTTATTGGAAAAGAGTTACTTTGTAAACTAACTTCATCATCAAATTTGAAGTTCAGACCATAAGATACGTGATTGTGCAAATTTTCTCCAACACCAGGAAGACTTTGAACAACTGGAATATTCAAGCTTCTGAGATGCTTTTGTGGTCCGATTCCTGACAACATCAGAAGTTGTGGTGAATTCACTACTCCTCCTGAGACTATAACTTCTCGTTTTACCATTACAGTGTATATTTGATCATCCTAATAAGCATAAATTTCAAAATATTAGTGTGTTGTGTCATATACAATAATTTACAACGGCTATATGAAAAAGTCCTATAATTACTTTAATATATTTAACTCCTATAGCTCTTTTCTGTTCAAAAACGATTTTTGTAGCGAGAGCATTGAGAATAACGTGTAAGTTTGGCCTGTCTCTGAATGGCCGCAAATATGAAGCAGCACTACTGACTCGAACTCCATTATTGCTTATTGTCTGTGCAATAGTAAATCCTAGTATTTTATCACCTACCATATCTTCCGTAATCCCGTATCCCATTTCATCGCCAGCTTTTAAAATATCCCAGGCAAATTGTGGTTGCCAAGGGAATCTACGTTGATGCATATAATGAAAAATTTCGATTTTAGGAAGCGTATAATCACCCCTTTTTCCAAAAATTTTCATACCTTTCGACGGGCATGATTCCTCCAGTTGCGTGGTGCTTAGTTCCTACTCTTTTTATTTCATGATTATCTTCAGATTTCAAAAAATAGGGCACTACCTAATAACATCGTTTCTGTTATGCCAATCATGTTAATAGAGTGTGCGCACTTAAATTTTATAGATAATAAATAACCTCTTCCCAAGACCAGCCTTCATTCCCCATGGCCACCCATTTTTCAAAATCCTTCGGATTTCCCCGATGGTAAGCCATCCCATGATGAACAGTTGTACCGCCAAGATTTTTCCCTCGGGGCCACAAACAAACTCCACCTCGTCTAAGGCAAGCGTGAGATTCGTTCGTAGTTTTGTACTTCCAATCTAGTTTACCACCTGTACAAAATTATATAAAACACGTAAAACATAAAAATATAAAATATTTTTTATCTAAAGTGTCTTGTAGCTTAACTCCCAAGTGCAATATTTACCTAGATATGATCCAAAGATACTAGGTATTTGTGCTGATACCGGCTCATCTGGACCTGCCTCTAAAAGCAATACTTTCCAGTTAGGATTTTCACTCAATCTTCCAGCTACCACTGCACCAGCACTTCCTCCTAAAAGAAACAATGTAATTTTCAATACTTGTTACTCGTAAAACGATTTCTCATACTCGTATTCTGTGCACAAAACAATCTATTTATAGAAGGCGATAAGACGTGGTACTTATAGCAATTACACAGGGAAAATATATATTGTACGATTTATTATTTTTTGTACAATTATAGAGAAAGAGAGAGAGAGAGCATATTTTGATCACATAGTATAAAAAAATGACAGATACAAAGGTATTCTCCCTGTTTCGTTATTTAACGCAATAGTTGCGTTATATATCATTTTATTAAAAGTTATTTTTAATTTACTAAAAAATGGAAAGACTCATTTATTGTGAATTAACATACCTCCAACAATAATAAAATCATAAGAATACAAAGGCTTCTCTATTGCCTTTATTCGTTTCGTTGATCCACTTATCGATGTATGATTTTGCGTCATTGTATTCAAAAGTGTTAAAAACATTGTACATTGAGAAACAAAACTTGTACAAGTGTTAGGTACAATAGGACCTGGTAAAAAAGGATTGGAACATGTGTTATCGGTAAAAGTAGCAAAGTCACCCTGAAAATTTTATAATTATAAATATTTTTCAAAACAATTATAAGATAATATACTATTATAAGCTAACATACCATATTCACAATCTATTTCATGAATGCGAAAGAAAAAATCCAAGTAAACTAAATGTTTTCTGTGCTCTGTAGCGTCTTTTATACTTGTTATTAGGAAAGTATATCCTACCTTTCAGATATTTGTTACGATTGAGCTAATGTATAGTAGTATAATTTTGTTTGGCAGTATTATCTAAGTCGTGAATTATTAAAAAATATAATTAATGAATTTTCCGTTTAACAATGTTTTTTTTATTTATTCAAGATAAAAGAAGGAAAGCGAAGAAAAAACTGATACATCTTAAATAACGTTGATTTATTTACAGGCTCATGTAATTACATATGTAAAACGTCAGAGGAAATTTGCTCTGATTTTACTTTGGTTTCACAACAAAACTATGTACATTTAAAATGAAAATAGTAATTTACCAAATAATTCAATAATTTAATTTTAAAACTTTACAAAATAAGTTTGATCATCCACCTCGATCATAATTTTTAAATCTACGTAAATAAACAGTACTACAAATAAACAGTAATGTACTATAAATTTTTCACTAATTATATACTAATAACAACTAATACTTGATAAAGTATATCTGTCTATAATTTTGCTAATTTTATAATGGCTTGTCTGATATTTTAATCAAACACTTTGGACTTATTTCTAACTGAGGTCACCAGATATCGTGATCAAGATATTTAATTCCCCATCGCAAAAAATCTAATGAATTGTCCTTCGAAAAGCACGAACTGCTAAAGAAAAATTATTGATTTGTTTGAATTGAAATATATATTTTATTTATGTGAATATTTTTGAAAATATTATAATACCATTGCGTAGATGTGGCACCCCAATCTTTTTTTATAAAAGCAGCAGCTCGTTCTCCAATCATCATTGCTGGCGCTGCCGTATTTCCTGATGTAACCTGAAGTAATAATAAAAAATATTAACATATATTTAGATTACATTTTTATAGAAATTAATACTATTAAATAAATCTAGACATTATTTTAAAACGCATAGAAGGTAATATATTTCATTATCAACATACTGATCTACATATGAATATGCAGTTTGCTTTATACATTTTCCTCATGATGTGATCTTTAAATTACGATGTTATGAGGAACTAGATAGTTAACTATTGAATTATAAGCTCAATATATTTCTGTTGGGTACACTATTCAACTTATATGTAAAATGCTTCTAGATCTAAAAAGCAACATATATTAAATAAGTTTCAACTTCATCAAAACGCGTCACAGAAATTATCAAAAGACTTATCATCATTTGTATAAATTTGTCACTCATTTGTAACGCAGTGAACATTGAAGCAGAATACACCGTTTATATAAACGTATAAATATGTGCGTGAATATATATTATATTATGACAGTTTCGATTGAAATGAGATGTATATGTTATGCGTTTAATCGCACTGACGATTGAATTTAAATCAATCAAGTCTAATATTTGCCGGTGTTACTAAATAAGTTACTAATCGAAGTTAATGAAATGTTGGTCTATCGCGATTAAATATCGGTGAGCGTGCAAATTTGTAATATAAAAGTCAGGAACATTCCAGAGATCTTTTCTTCGGTAACTTGTTTTTTAACTTGATACAAATAATTACCTTCGGCATGATCGATGTATCAGCTATACGTAAGCCTTTTATACCGTATACTTTTAATTCAGGGTCAACAACCGACCACGGATCATTGGGAGGTCCCATTTTACAGGATCCCGATTGATGATTTTCCGGTCCCGTGTCTTGCATAACTGCGCAACTCCAATAGGCATCGCTTAAAAATGGAAATCTTGAACAAGCACGGATAGGAGGATTGGATAGAGTTATGTTATATCGAGCAAGTACAGTAGTGTTAGCTAATGAAAGAGCTACTCGTATTCCTTGGACTAAAATAGCTATGTCTAGTGGATTGGATAAATAATTTTGTTGGATGATTGGATAAATAAACGGGTTGTTGCTCGCTAATCGTAAAGTACCTGTAATCAATATTTTTTTTATGACTTCTATTTACGTTGTTATTTTCACGTTGATTATTGAGATTCATCAATTAAGGATTTTTTGAAGCTAAAAAAAGTTGCCTTCTTACCCCGACTTCGTGGGTGTAAATTAGTCGGTGACATACTAATACTACGTCGGCCATTATCTAAACGTGCCCCTACTTCCCCAGTAGTGGCACAAGCGGCTTGATATCCACCGAAAAATAACTGAATATCTGGATGATCAGAAGTTGTATAACTTGACGGAAGTATTCCGGTTATTTGAGATAGCCCTGTTGAGGACATTGGTCCTTTCTGAAACGCAATGTACTCGGTAGCTGCTGCCCAGTTAAGATCATATTCATTTGGTTGATTGATCGTGAATGATACGGTGTATGAAACATGATTTTGTAGATTTTCACCAACGCCTGGAAGATCCTTGACCACGCTTACATTCATGGTTCGCAGGTGCTCTTTCGGACCAATTCCCGAAAGTAGTAGCAAATGAGGTGAACCAACTGCTCCGCCGGATACAACAACTTCTCTGATTAATTCAAGAATTGATACATTTATTATTAAATTAGCAATAATCCGTCGTAACTTGGATTTGTGCTTATTTACTTGCTGCATAATATAATTATCTTATTAATATAATTTCTTTTTATTGTACTTTGTATTTATGCTCGTGGTGTTCAAATTTTATATAACTTCCAACTTTAATTTTATGTGATTTATTTTCCAATAAATAAACAATACAAATTCATTCGTATTGTTTAAATGTAAAAGATGAAAAGATGTTGATTACTACAAGTAATCTAAAAATAATTGATTTACAGCATAACTCTTATCTGAAAGTTTCAACAATGCATCGAGCAAGTGAAAGCAAAGATAACCCATCGAGAACTGAGAAGGAAACTGAAAGTGAAAGATTGCAGAAACTCTACCTGGTAGCTCGAGCAACACGAAACTCGCCATTTTTAAAATACTGAACTCCAACGATCTGTTGATCCTCCGTAACAATCTTTGTGGCAGTAGAATTAAGTAGTACATGAAGATTGCTTCGGTCGCGTGCCGGTTGCAAAAATGCCGATGCACTGCTGACCCTGACGCCGTTACGGTTGTTCGTTTGAGCGACGGTAAAACCAGCAATTCGCTCGCCGTTCAAATCTTCGCTTATTGGGTAACCAGCCTCCGCTGCAGCGTAAAGGATATCTGCGGTGATTGGTGGCTGCCACGGAAATCGTTCCACATTCAACAGACCTCCTTGTGCGTGGTATTTCTTACCCACTCGCGGCAGTTCGGTGTTATTCTCCGAACATAGAAAATAAGGTAGTACCTGCAGATATTCAAACGGAATATTTATTTAGTTGCCAAGAATTAATACATCATCCGAACTCACTTGCTAATTAAAATATGACATAAATTGAAACATAAATATGTTTTAAAGAGTAAAACTGATCTAACAATGTCATATTCAAGTGGAAATATTTTTTATTCTTAAAAATTCATTTTTATTAATTCATCTATACAGTATCAAAATAATTGACATTAACTATTGTTGAATAATACTTTTTAGTTAGTAAATTCAATAAACTTTTTCTTTTATTCAGCCTACAAAATTACATTTTTATTGAAATCATGAATTAAATATATGTAATTTCTACTGAAAGAAATTCCATACAAAACGTTTTCATATCTCTCTATTAATATGAGTAAATAATGAAAAATCAAAATTAATTTTGTATCATTTAAAACCCATTTGAATTTCAAGTCGAGAAAGCTACATAATTTGTTGAAGTATTAGCCTTTACCATCTATATAACATCATCGAAGCATGCAAGCTCTAACCCAATACTCTCATAACAAACACTCACATCTTCCCAGGTCCAGCCATAGTTGCCGAGTGCAGCCCAGTCGTCGTAGTCCCTTGGGTGTCCCCTGATATACATCATACCATTGTGTACGCTACTGCCGCCTAAATTCTTGCCCCTTGGCCAACTGCACGAGCCACCACTCGATAGACATGCATTCTTCTCGTTCACGGTTCGGTACTGCCAATCTATCTCGGTACCGAGAAACATTGCTACCATGCTTGGTACGTCGGCGCCTGGTGGTTCGTCTGGACCTGCCTCGATCAGCAACACCTTCCATTCCGGTACTTCGCTTAGCCTTGATGCAACTACTGCTCCCGCTGAACCGCCTACGAATAAAGAGAATGTTTGATTTGTTTTCGTTTGTTGATTTGCATATTTTGCCCTTAATACAAATTATTATAACACGTACTACAGTAAATCTATGATACCCATTTCATGCTATAGATTACTCAATAAATCGTTTATTATCTGCTGATACACGTACATACATGCTCACACACGCACGCACACACAAATTGCGGAAATTAGTTTTACCAATTTTATGAAATAAGTAAGTAACTTTTTAGATGGACCTTTCCCTGAAAAGTACAGGCTTCTACACTTTGTAAAATGTAAAAAAAAGTTTTTTGTGAAATAAAAGTAACATTTCATCCTATATATTCTTGTATAATAAACGAAAATTTTTATTACTTTTAAAGCCCATAGATGTATTTATTCTTTGTAAACATCTTTTATATAAGAAAAAGGCTCTAAGTTTTGGTAGCTAAGTTCATTACAAGCTACTCTCATCAACTATTTGTGAAATGATACCATTAATAAGCATTATTCAGCAGCTAATCATAAAAGTCGGCGTCAAAAGGTTCCAATATTTTCGTGTTTTATAAGGACGATTTTATTCAGAGTTTATAATTTACATAATTAAGAAGCTGATAAATATTTCTGTAAAATCGAAAATGAATAATAGTCATTAAAATACGTATTTAGTACCTACACATAATGTTGAATTATGTGCACAATTTTCGAATTTGAAATTATTGTTGTGTGTCAAAATTATTACGGCAAGTTATGTAATCCCTGATGATTTGCTTGTCTAACTATAACATAAATTAGATTATAATCACCAAAGGTATTGCGATCATCGTTTTATGGTTATCGGTAGAAATAGAAATCAATAGAAAGATGGCACGACGATTTTTCTTTGTCAAACATAATAAATTGAGCAGAATAGTCAATTTGAACTCATACATATCATCAGTGATGTTATAGTTTAACTCTAATCAGTAACAAAAAAGTAGGAAAAATAGATACGCTACACAAATTACATTAGCTTTATATATCTATGTATTGTAACTAAATGTAGAAACACTAACAGCTACATTTTTTATTTAGATACAGTTGTACAAATCGGCCGAGCCGAGAGTCGAAGAATGATCGGATTGATCCATAGCGCGCTCTATGTTGGATATTGCATTTTGTCGATAGCGTGCTATCCATGCCAACGTGCATTTTTTTCTGCCTTTGGTAGTTAGATTGATTTTTCGTGAAATAGTAAATTGTACAAAGTAATTTTGAGAGCCCGTTCGTCCATCGAGAGAGATTTATATTGTGTTACAAAAATAAAGTAATTTGATTTTCGCTGTATTTTATGGATTTCAATTGATATATACGGATTTTGTATAGTCAAATCTTAAGTGTAAGTTACCGTTTGTAAAAATGGTATGTGTATAAAATTTATTGAAAGATGTTTCAGTCAACATTTATTAACTATTCCATGTTTTATTTCTTGAAGACATACACATACACACACACACACACACACATACAGATAATATTTTTCTATTGTAATAGACTGTAGAACAATAGAAATAAATTTAATTGAAGTTGAGTTAAAATGCATGGCTTTAGAGCACAAGTGAAAACGCCTATTAGAATAGTACTTTTCTCACAAACCTTATTTTCTCAAATAACATACTTCGGCTTTACCTTCTAGTAATTAACATGCAATCGTAAAATTGAAAAAAAATCGAAAAAACTACCGCAAATATTTCGAAATATAGGAGAGCTGCACCGGTTAGATTGGCTAGCCCGTTCATTTTTGCAGCAACCTGTTAAAAGTGAATGTTATATCTGTGGGTTTGCCCAAGGGAAAACGACGGTAGGAAGGCATTTGAATGGAACCAATGTAGATACATTATACAGCCCGGCACACCGGTACTATTTTGCTTCTCTCCGCGTGTTAGCACTTTCTCACTTTCTTTTCTTGTGCCATTAATCCATTCAACTAATCGGATGTGGTGCGGATATAGAAAGATAAGATTATTGTCAATTTTATTCATTGTCACAAGAACTCAATTTTTTTCAGTAAACTAATAAAATGAACAGAAGAGAAGAGTTTAAAAACGTAGAAGCCAATGAATAACTGGTTTCGTACACACCGTAGATTTTTTTACCCTACTGATCAAGTCCTCTGTACCATCTTCATTGAATTCGAAAGGTTGACGTTATAAATTACACGAAACAGAACTAATACAAGTTGATTTAATGTTGAGCTTACATAATAAGTATAGTGTTATATATCCGAATAAAGCTTCTTTTGATGATTATAAATTAATAAATTAATAATAATTCATTAATAATGTAATTTGAGTATGTTATAATGCAATCAACTACATACTTATATTTAAGGAAAATATGACACCATTTAAAGAGAAATTTATTATCCATTATCTTCAATAAAATTGCGTATAGTGTGTTTATTACGTATAGCATAAAAAAAATTATTTAAATAAAATATAAATATAACTCTCGCCAGCGAGGTTTCCACATATTCGCATAAGCGAATCTGTTTCCTGAAACGCAGTGAACAGGCGGATTAGAAAGAGGAAAACTGACTTCACGGCTGCGTGGCTTTGAACTACATCGACACCGGGCACGGCTCTCGGGCAAAAAAAACAGAATCTAGAGTATACACGCTCTTAGCGCGCTCGCACTTTTACCGGTAGTGACGTGACTCGCGAGATTTATATTCAGCGAATTAACATTCAAATTAGAGCAATCCATGGAACAAAGAAAGTCCTTGATATTCCAGATTTTTGTTTGAATGATTTTTTATTATTAGTCGTTTAAAACGAGCAAATATTATTATCACTATAAGATGAAAATATTTATACTCTTGGCTTATTCGATGTCTTGATTTCATCTCTACCTCACCGGTTAGTTTATTTTTTTCACTATTGATAGTAAAAATTAATGGAGATTATCGAATCTCTGTATACACACTGTTGTTTTATTAGTTTCATAAAACTTGCCAGAGATTACACAACTGACCAACAAAAGTGTAAGTTATCAGAGAAATTTTATCGCATAATTTTCACAGCTTTTTTCATATATAACATAAATATTTATTATCATCTAATAACAGTTTTTTCAATGATTCGAAAAGTATTTCAATTTATTTATGTTATTATGAGTTGCAGTTGTTATGAAGAAAAATATAATGTTAAACTTATCACATTTAAGAATAGAACTAAATTTACATACATATTGCAGTGACATTAAAATAATAGATATAAGTAACACCTACTATTAAATTGATAATGGATTCGACAAAATATATTTATTCATTTAGATAACAAATAGCAATATATCGCGATAATTCTGTTTGACTCCAATAAATCTTGCTTCGCGTCCGACACATTAACATAGATCGTAGTACTAAATGTAATTTCCAGTCTTCTAAAGAGTTTATTTCGAAAAAAAGAAAACAAATTGACCACACTCTCGAACCATCTATTCAGTACTGAATCCGCCAGCGTTCAATTCAATTTACCGTATAAATATTTGCTCTCGTTGCGCTACTCCATGTTTTTCGCTCTTTTATAAAAGCTCCTTCAGAGAAGATGATGTTCACTATGTTACGAGTGCGCTCGGCTTTTTTTCTTCATTTTTCAACTTGATTGTATAAAAGCACTTGAATTTTTCAAAAATAGCTAACAATATTCACTCTTATCGGCATTATGTGCTAGAAGTCATTGTCGTATAATTCTTTTTTTAATTTTAATTCTAAATTGTTTACTGAAAACTTATTTGCGCTAGTATGACATTATGTTTTATTGTAGGCATATAAAGGTTAAAGTATTATTATAAATAAATACGTCCAATAAGTTCCTAATATGAGTAACGTTATATTTATCTTTATTAGTTAATTTTTAAAAAATTAATAAAATTCGGTGCTCTATAGAAGTAAAACGTTATTATTATATTCACAGTCAGCTCACGATAAAAATTCTTTAGTTTAGTTGGAGTATTATCCAAAACAATCTTAGTAGTTAATTATCCGTGTTTCATGGTCGTCAGCCCGGTAATCTTAGTTTTTAACGTCCATCTAGTTCCGCCTTCTCCTAATCAATTCTACAAAGCTTGGCGAATGCCGTTCAATAGAGAGGACGAGATAGAAAGCAATATATATGTACATCCGATAGACGGGTGTGCTTGTCGTGTTCGCACGATATATATTGACGGGGGTCGATGTTGCTTTGACTGGATCGTGCGCCTGACTGCACCGAACGTTTTGATAATCGGTTCTATCTGCGAAATAATTACCGGAAAATTCAATAAATTTGCGAGTGTTTTAGCTGAGAAATGTCAATTAATATTCGTTTGCTCCATTTCTTTGGCCTCTAGCGCGTAACACTTAGTTCATGGACATTTGGATGCGGAAAAACGGCTGTGAGAAACGATCGATAGGTTAATGATTCATAAATATGTGCATAAAACAATCGTGTTTCACGTCACACACCAGCGAGTGGCGATTCTTTTGCACTTGGAATTTATTTTCGACAATTATAATATAAGAATGCTCCGAATGATGCGGAATTCTCTTTAATTGATAGGGTCGTTAGGCCGTATCGTTATTGTCCTTTAATTGGCAATTACCGTGGGATCAACGTTGTTTGGATGATATACAAAAAAAGAAATAAAAGTTCATCGGACATTTCTAAATAACAATCAAGTTTTATACAAAATTATATTTCATGTTTACAAATTTTCATAGCATATGAGAGACTTTACTTTTTGTAAATATGCATATTCGTCGCGTGATTGTATGCAATAATTTTTACACTTCCATCGAGTATAATAAAAAAAAAATTGGTGAAGATTATGCAATATTTTTTTATATTAACAGCCTTCTTACTGATATTTTCAATGCGACATTAACGCACTTTCTCAACGGCGGTAAGCTCGATAAATTACAGGAAAATAACGTTATAAAAGTGCATGGATTTCCCAACTACTACCTTTCAAAAGTATACAAAAAGTAAATAAGCAACTGGATATCACTTGGCGGCTAGCTGACGGTGTACTGATCAGGAAGTAGATTTGCATATCGTCGAGTAGTTGTATCAACGGAACGATTAATATTTCAATGCATGACACTTTTACAGCAAGCGAAATCAGTATAACTGATGCCATTCCAAACATTTACACTCTAGAGCGCAGGACACAAATTCGTCACGTTCAAAATTCAAAAACACGTAAGCTGAGGGGCATTTATACAAAATTAGTCCGACTAACGCCCTATCGGCAACAGCAGCGCGGAGCAGAATGCATTAGCCGTACATGATCAAACTTCTAATTAGAATGCAAAACATGGCATTACATGCGAAACTTTCGATTTCCGAAGTCGCTCGAGCGCATTCGGTTAACTCATAAAAGCAAGCAGCCATCGTGCTATGTGCGTGTCCTTGTATGATAACGCATTAGGCCGCAAGCTTAAGACTATATATACTCACCACCCACGACGATGAAGTCATAATAGTAGTCCGCTGGGTCCTTTGGTATCACGCGTTCGCAGAGTCGTGAAACCTCGCGCTTAGCCCTCAGAAACGTGTCGAGGATTGTCATGAACACGAGGAACTGTGCGCCTGGGCAAGTCTGTGCTAGACTCGGCCCTAGAAATGGTTCCGAACACGATGGACTGAACGACAGGCTGTATGACATTTTCGCCAGATGTTACCCACCCTAACACACAGGCTATTGTCCTCACTCGTTAGATATTGGACTGCTCTCTCTCTCTCGCGCGCGCGCGTGCGCTCCACTGATTCGAGCCCAGGGTCGCTCATAAGCTATCGCCCTCGAGGTCGCTAAGACTGCTCTCCAGAACAACACATTGCATGTGCGATAGGTTGTCAATTTTGCAATGATTGTTACGAATGGGAAATTTGTCGGATACTTGTTCTTCGGTCGTTAACTTGTCGTCTCTTTACTTTACGTCTATTGCGACTATCTTTTTTATCTTGCTTACTTTCTTATGCCAATAAAATGTGCACTTCTAATGGAGCAATTTGAGAGGGTTATATTATCCCTGCCATTTGAATTTAATGGATGAACGTTATGTAAAGCTACAAATTTAATGCTCAGTTGAAACGGAAAGAGTATTTATTTTTCAATTTGAAGTTACCTTCCTCAGTTTAATTATGTCGACAAGTATTTTTATATCTTATTGAAATGCTCAAGTTATTCTCACAATTATGTCCAAGGGAACACTTCAGTTTGAATAATTATCACACATTTATTGAAAATAAAAAAATAAATGTTCAAACAAATAACTAGCGAATTATATTCACTTATTATAGAGATTACTTTAGAAACAACGAAAGTTATTGAATTTCACATTCGAATTCCAATGGTCGTTAATTGAGGTTGTTGAAAATTGTATAAACCCCATTGGAATTGGAGCCATTTCGAATCACGCGGGTGCACTTAAAAGGAATCATTGAAATAAAAATCCCATGTTAGAACCTAGCGGATGTAAGTTCAAATATAAATTTCTAACATTTCCGTGGTAGCACTGGTAACTTCAACGACACATCACTGCTTCACATAACCAACACAAAGAAGTGGTACATAAACACAATAAAACACAAGCATGTATGAACAGCTTTAGGAAATTGCAATTCATTCACGGTAAGTGATAATTTGAAGAATGACTGAAAGTGGCGTATTGTTAGTGGCACATACCGAAGTGAGAGGAAATAGATAGATAGAGAGAGAGAGAGAGAGAGAGAGAGAGAGAGAGAGAGAGAGAGCGAGCGCGGGCGAGCGAGTAGCGCGGGTGCATGCACTGCAAAACCTCTCACCGTGCCGCAGTCGCTTTATAATTCATCTCCCACCTGACTTTGGCTCTCTCGCTCTATCTACTCTCGCTCTAGATGTGAGCGCCCGCCACCACTACCATCACTATACGCTACAGTAGTGCCTAACTTCGTACCATTTGCTCGATCTTAACGATGTTTTCCGTGAGATGTTATCGCTCTCGTGTTTGACTTCCGCCACTCTTGTTTCAACCTAAATAACGTAACCTTTTGATAAGATTTTCAATATTTTACTCAAGTATAATATACAATTTTCATTTCAAAAATGGTTCCTTATCGGTAATTTTATACTTTTAATGATAAGATAAATTGTAGATAGTTATATCATTTGAAAGTGTTATGCTATAACTAGAAAATATTTCAGTTTTTGTATTTTCGAAACTATAATGCTTCGATTTGTAGACCCTAAGAAATGAAATGAAAAAATAATTATCTCATTTGAAATCAATCCTAATAACAGATTATTTTCTTGACACTCTTGAAAATTATAAAAGTTACGTCGATGATAAAATTAAACCACATAGAATTATTGCTATAAAACAAATTCCATTTCTAATCCCTTTTGTTAGCACGACCTACTCATATATTTCCATACCTTCATTTATTTTCTAAATTAGATGGATGACGATAAAACTTTGACATTCATCAACATAAAAGATTTGCCACAACTCGTTTCAATGATGAGAATCGTGTACCTACGTAGTTCAGAAATCTCCTTGTAATAAAGTTTCTCTCGTTAAGCGGCGTATACCATACATCTCGTAATGTTTATACCAATCCTTTCACTAAGCTTATTCCATACATAAGCTCGTAAAGTAGTAAATCACTTTTGCAGGCATTCAGTTATCGAGTCACTAAAAAATTTTATCATTGCACAAAAATTGTTTATTTGAGTTCACTTGTGAAAGTAAAAATAGACAATATGCTCAGAGCCGATAGCCAAACGGCGAAGTAGTACTATCAATTAAAACCATCGTGGCCAATGGTCGATCTGCATCCAGATCAAACGCTCGCAACGCAAACGTAATCCAAACCGCAACATTGGCTAATAAGTATTATCGGCAGTCGAACCACGGAAATGTGGATAGCGTTAGATGAGAGAAGACAAACGCATGCAAAACACACGCACACATACACCTGGCGGAAATACAACTTAATAGCAGATTCATATTGTCGCGAATTGACGCGTTTCGCGGTGCATCGGACAAATTCAACGACTGCTAAGCTAAACTTCTATAATATAGTGATAACATAGCGATGGACTGTTCGTTAAATGCCTATTGCCGAATAACGCACATGCGTGCCAGAGAGATGAAAAGCACTATTTGGAATAAACGATGAGCAGGAGCGATTGCGTTACATTCTAGTTTATTATTAGAAAATACGCACTGTGGTGGCGACGCCAACTCTCGCTATAACAGAGAGTATAATATACCGCATAGTCCGACGAGCATGAAATCAATTTTCGTCGCTTGTATACCGCAATTCGCATGCTTTATAATGTATATATCTGCTGTTGTGTGAAAACGTTCGACCGAGTAGAAGATATACCTGGCTATATTGTAGCTTGCCTAATTATAACTATACATACGTGTACAAAGATTATCCCCTGCCCATTGACTCCGTCTTTTATCACTCTTCGATACGCACGCGCCGTTGTGAACTATACTTGTGTATATATTTAGTTCTTTACCATGACACTTTAATAACTGGATATTTTTAATGTCTCACAGGTACACGTGCAGTAATGGTATAAAATTTAACGTGTTAAAATAAAAATTAAAGAGGGAAAGAAATTATGTGTGCGATGTATGTTTAAAAATGAATGGATTTCCTGCTCAAAAGCTTGCTGTGCTTTAAAACACAAAAGCGTAAAAAAAGTATTTTCCAATTTAAGAAGAAATGACTCCGCTAGGTACTTCTCTTCCACCGTAAACTATGACGTGGACATGCGAGCTATGATTCCGCGTAGAGTAATAGCGTGAGCGCTCGCATTAGTAGTCTTTCCGTATACGTATCTACTGATTTAATGTATCGAAAATTTTTAAGCTAATACATTTAAATGTTACGACGAAGAAATCTACAGAGCCAAAGCTACATATCTGTATAGTGTAGAAAAGTTATTTACAATCATTAGTCCTCCTTATACGTATATTCCGCGCTATTATTATTAATAAAAGGACTATCAGTCCTACAAAACAAGATTTTTCTCGCTCATGTATTAACAAGTTTCATTCACCGAACCACAGAAAAATAAATCGACAGTTTACAAAGGGCAAAGAGACCAACAGAGAAAAATGTTTTAGAAATAAAAATACTATTAGCTTTACAAGTTACTCTTTCAAATAAAATAATATTCCAAGTGGTCAATAACTTTCGTGCTTCCAGAGCTACTCTTTCCGCTCGTGAATGAATTCCGCCTGCGAATTGGCGAATATTCTATACCAGATTTAGCTCTGCACCCCTTAAGACAAAAGATGTTAGAGTAATTAGCGAAAGCTAAGAATTTTTTGATACTTAGAAAGCACGTGGATCTATCATCATTTGTACGTACACTTTCGAATAATATTTTTCAAATTACAGACAGGAAGTAACTTGAATAATGTACCCTCTGGTTCGCTATATGCTTGTTTCATCATTAGATTAATATTAGTTTAGAAAGCACTTTGTAAATTTAATATTGGTACAAAGAGTGCTCCAGATAAGTTAATTGTTAATTGTTTGAGGACTTTGTGCTTTGTGCGCGAAAAGATTAGATTAAATAATGTTATGATTCATTTCCTGAAAAAACTGCCATCATATTTCTTATACATAGCTCTTCTACGACAGAAATATATTTAAGAATTTTTCGAAAATAGAAATTTTTACTCCAGCCTGTTTCATATTCGCCATTGTTAAAGCGCATTTATTAAGTATAAATTTATATTTTTATAAAAGTGTGAGGCCGTAGAAATACTTAATAAAATCTTATATAAACTGTTTATAAATGGGATTTTTTAAACGACGAATCAAATTTCATGAAACAACCTTATTTTACCAAGTAAAAATATTTCTTTTAACTATTTCCATAGATTGGAGTAAATTCCAATAATGCAATGTATTTCATCGAGGTTAATTTCGCAAGGCCGAGGTATCATAAAACTGCATAAAAAAGTATTGCATTCAAAGAAAACTCGTAAAAAATAATTAGAGTCAAGACCAAATTGAGATCGAGAAAAAAAAATGCGAGAAGAAGATGAACGGCAGGATATAATTCCCAAGGTGTCTCTGAATATAACTGAGCTCGCATCTCGGTCGTACAGAGCAGTAAGTATAGCACAAGCGCTTTTCATCACTTGCTTTTGCGTTTTAACGCGTCCTAAGCATGTTTGATTAAGCCCCACAGTAGCAAAGAGCGAGGAACCGAGAATGTGATGTTACCGCTGCGCTGCTGCTACTACTGCTGAGTGTAAGTGCGCCGAGCGGATATGATGAGTGTAATTACGTTCGTGTGCGCAAAGCACGGTGAAAGTTTCGCAACAATGACAAACCTGCACGAGTTTATTCATAAAGCGGACGCTCTACAAGACTCGTGCGCGGACCGCTCAGTCATTAAGATTATAAGCGTAAATTTCTAATGAGAAAATATTATTAACACTCTGCTCTGCCGGCTTTAGCAACAGCTAAGATACTTTACTGTTGCTTTTCCTTTGCCTTAAATTTTACTTAATTTACTTTTTCCTTTGTGAAAACGTACTATTTATGGTTTTATCAAGACAAATTTTTCTCAAAAATAATACGAGTACTGTCCCACCTTGATCCTATTTGACCAAGTAGAAACTTCTTATACATAAAATATTAAAAATTGAAATGTGTTGATAAACATAACATAGCCTGAATTAAATGCAATTTTTCACGTTTTAGACGTGTCCTAGAAGAATACAGGATAATAGAAAATAACGAAATAAAAATCTATACAATTGCTAAAAAATTATTTTTCTGCCAATTATTGCGAATAATTGGCGAACTGATTTACCTGACAGCCCGCCGAATGGTTTTTGCAAAACGACACGCAGTATAAGGTAATGTTCTCCACGTCGTTTCTATGCATCAATAAAGGTATAAATGAGCTCTCCACACATCGCCTTCATTAAAAAGACGACGAAGCGAGATATACACACGCGATATTCTACGGCACGAAGTCGCGATACGTTTGAACCTTTCTCTCTTTTCCCCTGTCACGCTCTCCTGTGCGAGAGTGAGAGCATAAAAATAAATCCTTCGCGTCGTTTTTGACGACGCGTATAAATGTGAAGTAAGTATAGCGCTCCAAACGCCATATTCCTTGTCTCCTC